ATACAAATAAAGGAGAAAAAAAAAAGCTGATATTCAAAGTGTTATCTATTTAGGGACTTTACGCTACAGTATGTTCTGAAGTCTGTGCGTTAGGTTATGGCAATGAGGAAAAACCAGCAATCGCTGTGCATTAATGTGAAGTCTGGAAAGATCTTCACGTCTGATGAAATGCAGCATATACTCAGCTGGAGGAGCATGCATACTGTTAACGTTTAACTGGGTTTTTGGTACTTACATGAATAAATTATGTAAATGTACACAGTAGTTTCCACGGGAATTGTTGGAATTAAGGAAACTGGGAAAATGACGGAAATGGGAATATAATGAACCCAGATGAGGTTGCAGCATGTTTAAGATTGTACATAAGTAGGCCAGGGCTAGGTGTGCATTAAATGAGACTGCATAAAAAAATGAACATTTATATTTGTTTATTTTATGGAAAATATACACTTACCGGCCACTTTATTAGGTACGCCTCACTAGTACCGGATTGGACCCCCTTTTGCCGTCAGAACTGCCTCAATCCTTCGTGGCATAGATTCAACAAGCTACTGGAAATATTCCTCAGAGATTTTGCTCCATATTGGCTTGATAGCATCACGCAGTTGCAAATCTCCAGTTCCACCACATCCCGAAGGAGCTCTATTGGATTGAGATCTGGTGACTGTGGAGGCCATTTGAGTACAGTGAACTCATTGTCATGTTCACCAGTCTGAGATGATTGGCGCTTTATGACATGATGTGTTATCCTTCTGGAAGCAGCCATCAGAAGATGGGTACACTGTGGTCATAAAGAGATGGACATGGTCAGCAGCAATGCTCAGGTAGGCTGTGGCGTTGATGCTTAATTGGTACTAATGAGCTCAAAGTGTGCCAAGAAAATCTCCCCCACACCATTACACTACTACCACCAGCCTGAACAGCTGATACAAAGCAGGATGGATCCATGCTTTTATGTTGTTGACACCAAATTCTGACCCTAAAACAGCAGAAATCGAGACGTCGGAGTGTCTTGTGCTCATGTCATGTGATATCCCATGTGTTTGTTCCATGTGCTCCTGTTTACATCATGTGATTCCCTTGTTCAGTTTTCCCGCCATTCATTAGTGTCAGTAGCTCCACCTGTGTCACACTCCTGCTTGTAATCTGTTTAATCATGTCTTGTGCATTTGTGAGTTCACTTTATTCCTTTGTCTGGTATTATTTTGTCAAAACTCCTTGTCCTGTCAGCTATTGGTGAGACTTATATTGTAAATGTTTTTTCTATAATTCCTAAGAACTGTGCGTTTGTGAGTAACAAGCAAACTTGTGACAAGATATGAATGTAAGAAAAAATTCTGAATCTCTTGGTCAGATGCTTGCTTGATGAGCCACTGATGTCTCTCCATAGGAAACAGATGTATTATGTCACGCAAGCGTCAGTTTATCACTGTCAGACATCGGCCTGCATGATGGATGATGGATATTTAGCATGTGTGTGTGTGCCTTTTCCCCGGAGAAAGTGTGTTGTTACCTGTTGTCTGTCTGGCCAGTGTCTGTTTCTTCTGACCTTTAGTAACTTTATGTTTGCGTACATGCAGAAAAATCAATATTGCATTAATATTTTACATACCTGCTTGCTTCAAAATCACAACTCGGTGCTAAAATACAGAGGTGAGTTCAAGAGTATGCACTTAAAGTCCAATTATTTTCCTTTTGTTTCTTTTAATATTTCCCAAATTATGTTTAACAGAGCAAAGAATTTTTTCACAGCATTTCACAACATTAATCATCACATCTCACCTATATTTTGTGTAAATTCAACAGTAGAGAGTCGTGTACTGTAAAGCCTTTATTTACACTGTCTTGCGGGGTCATTTAAATGCCTGAGCCTCCAGTGAGTGTAAGTAAAGCAGTGAATGGAGCGCCAGTCTGGTGAGTCAACAGGGCCAAACTGCTGACCGACCCTTGCAAAACACTTCAATCTCTGCACGCTGAGCTTCACTGCTCCCCTGGGCTTGATTGATTGATTCGCCAGCCAATCAGAACACATCAGTCCCCGACACTAAAGGCATCCATTTATATACAGCCTGTCAGGCAGACGCTGTAGTGCAGATTGAGCTTCTGGAAGGAGTCTGCAAATGTATTTATACTGTATGTAATTCTTTAATATTTTTTTCCAGTTCTGTATAACAGAGATTTTCAAATACATTTATAAATATAGTAGTTTTTATAGCTAATTTCTAATAACTGATTTATTTTATCTTTGTCATGATGACAGCACATACTATTTAACTATTTTTTATCAATAGTATTCAGCTTAAAGTGACATGGCTTAACTAGCTTAATACGGTTAAGCTCGGGTAATTAGGTGTGCCATTGTATAATGATAGTTTGTTCTGTAGACAATCTAAATAAAATATTGCTTAAGGGGGCTACTGATACCAGTAATCAGCTTAAAGTGACATATAAAGGCTTAACTAGCTTAATAAAGTAAAGCTTGGGTAAATAGGCAGGCCGTAGTATAATGATAGTTTGTTCTGTAGACAATCAAAAGAAAATATTGCTTTAGGGGGCTAATGATACCAGTAATCAGCTTAAAGTGACATGTAAAGTCTTAACTAACTTAATAAGGTTAAGGTCGGGTAATTAGGCAGGCCATTGTGTAAAGATAGTTTGTTCTGTAGACACTTAATAAAAATATTGCTCAAGGGGGCTACTGATAACAGTATTTAGCTTAAAGTGACATGTAAAGTCTTAACTAACTTAATAAGGTTAAGCTCGGGTAATTAGGCAGGCCATTGTATAAAGATAGTCTGTTCTGTAGACAATCAAAAGAAAATATTGCTCAAAGGGGCTAATGATATCAGTATTCAGCTTAAAGTGACATGTAAAGTTTTAACTAACTTAAGGTTAAGCTCGGGTAATTAGGCAGGCCATTGTGTAAAGATAGTTTGTTCTGTCGATAATCAAAATAAAATATTGCTCAAGGGGGCTACTGATACCAGTATTTAGCTTAAAGTGACATGTAAAGTCTTAACTAACTTAATAAGGTTAAGGTCGGGTAATTAGGTAGGCCATTGTATAATGATAGTTTGCTCTGTAGACAATCAAAATAAAATGTTGCTTAAGGGTGCTAATGATACTAGTATTCAGCTTAAAGTGACATGTAAAGGCTTAACTAGCTTAATAAGGTTAAGCTCGGGTGATTAGGCAAGCCATTGTATAATGATAGTTTGTTCTGTAGACAACTGAAATAAAATGCTGCTTAAGGGGCTAATAATATCTACCTTAAATATATATTTTTTTAAATTTTAAACTGCTATACTAGCTGAAATAAAACAAATAAGAAAGAAGCAGAAATAATATTATAGGAAATACTGTGAAAAATTCCTTGCTCCACTAAGTATCACTATATTTAACAGGAGGGATAATAATTTTGCCCTTAACTTTATACACTGCTCCCTCGCTAAAACGCAGGTTCACCTTTTGCGGCGTCGCAGTTTCGTGGATTTCTTCAGTGCAATTTGTCATGCTTTCTTTTTATTTTTACAGTGCATTGTGTTCTGCGTCCTGATTGGCTGTAGAACAAAGTCAATCAATCTCTTTCATGCCGTCTCTCCTGTACGGTACAGAATGCATTCAGCTTGCCAAATGTACACATTTGCTAGCAGTGTGACACTGAAGTGCTGTACTTCTTGCAAGTTTTCTCCCCAACAAACCCCACAGTGTCGACAAAACATTCTGCACAGTCAAGGGCACCCAAAAGGCAGAGAAAGATGCTAACCATCGCACAAAAAGTTGGACTTCTGGACATGTCAAAAGTAGAAGTTGCATAGCTGTAGAGCGCCATTACAGAATGAATAAATCTTCAGTTTGTTACATATAGAAGAAGGGAAATATCATAAGGACGACAGCAGCTATGCCTATTTATTTTAATAAATATGCAAAAAAAGGTTGTGATTGTCCACAACAAGACCATCATAAGGGCGGAGTCTGCTTTATGCCTCATTCACACTTGCAGCGGCTTTGTAGCTGCCTGTTGCTCTGGGTGGCGACCTGCTTCAAACGCAGGGGTGTGTAGATATATACAGCACAAATACATCCGGCCACTGAGCGAGCTGGCAGAGGATCATGTGAGCTGTACTGGGGCTCCTATTGGGTGTCGCTCAACAAAGTTGCTCTGCATTTGCATGAAGCTGAAGGATTCTCAACCCACCTGGTCGCGTAGACGCAGACCGCTGGAAGTCGCTCGCTCTCCGCTGAAATGAACTGTCTCTTGTCGCTTTGCCGCTGAGAGTCGCTTGTAGTGTGAATGAGGCTTTAGCTTTGTGGATCAGTGACTGCAGGAAACATGTTAATGCCTGTGTGGGAAAGGTGTATAAAGTGTGTAGCGAGGGGTTTTACAGCCTTGTCATCTATAACATCTGTATATATTTGACATCTAAATTGTATAAATTAGACATCTATAACAATTGTAAAAAATAAAGCTGAGTACTTCATGGATTTCGCCTGTCGCGGGTTATTTTTTAGGACATAACTCCTGCGATTAACAAGGGACCATTGTATATACATTTATAAACACAAACACACGCACACACATAGGTGTCACATCTAGTAATAAAACACAGTAAAGACAATTTTGGTGTTTTTTTTTATATTAATTATTGTTTTAATGCTAAAGTTGAGGTGATGTTGTGATATACATGATATTTGTCTAGTGTTGTTGAATGCATAAGTTTGCATGTTCTCCCCGTGTTGGTGTGGGATTTCTCCATATGCGCCATAGGGGAATTGATTAACTAAATTGGCCGTAGTGTATGGGTGTGTGTGTGTGTGTTAATTAGAGTGTATGGGTGTTGAGTTGTGGCTGGAAGGGCATCAGCTGTGTAAAACAAATGCTGGAATAGTTGGCGGTTCATTCCGCTGTGGCAACCTCTGAAATAAGAGACTAAGTGGAAAGAAAATGAATGAACGAATTAATAAACCTCTCTCTTTCTCTCTCTCTCTCACTCTTTTAGGGGGGATATTTGAATCCATCGAAAGTGGCCCATCAGGTGCTGAAGAACTTGCCTTTAAGTTTGCTTTAAATACAATCAACAGGAACAGAACTTTACTGCCAAACACCACACTCACATACGACATCCAGCGGATAAACATCCACGACAGCTTCGAGGCCTCCAGAAAAGGTAAAGTGTCTCCAGCCGCCTGTCTAATCAAAATTATTAGCTTAGTTAAACTATTTTAAGGTCAATATTTGTTTCAATTGTCTAGATAACCAACTATCTTTACAGAATGGCTTGCCTAATTACCCGAACTGAACCTTATTAAGCTAGCTAAGCCTTTAATGTCACTTTAAGCTGAATACTGGTATCGTTAGCCACCTAAAGCAATATTTTCTTTTGATTGTCTACAGAACAAACTATCATTATACAATGGCCTACCTAATTACCCGAGCTTAATCTTATTAAGCTAGTTAAGCCTTTAATGTCACTTTAAGCTGAATACTGGTATCATTAGCCACCTAAAGCAATACTGTCTTTTGATTGTCTACAGAACAAACTATCATTATACAATGGCCTGCCTAATTACCCGAGCTTAACCTTATTAAGCTAGTTAAGCTAGTGAAGCTGAATACTAGTGTCTTGAAAAAATCTAGTCTAATATTATTTACTCTCATCATGGCAAAGATAAAATAAAGGAGTTATTAAAACTATTATGCTTAGAAATGTGCTTGAAAAAATCCCTCTGTTAAACAGAAATTGGGGTAAAAAGGATACAGGAGAGCTAATAATTCTGGCTTCAACTGTATATCAGAGACTGAACTCACTGAAGTGTGTTTCTGCTGCATATGCAGAGAGAATGGATTGGTTTTAGGTAATGATTCAGAAGGGGTGATTCAGTAAATACCCCTGGGACAGGTCTGCAGGCTGCCGTCATCTGTCATTTACACGCTGGGGAAACATCTGAATTCTCTTATAATCATTATACACTTCATTAGCCGCTGCCACTGGAACTGCACTGCTTTCCATGCCACTTTATTTAAAGATTACAAAGATGCAATTAAACGCAGCGGTTCTGCCAGAAAACTGGGGGTAATAAAAGTACAGTAAATGAGCTCAGTGTTACCATTGTTGCACAAAAATTATTATTTTGGACAGCATTGTAACTTTACTCTTGTGTGGATTGGGCTTTGCATAAAGTGAAATTCATTTATACTCTTTTGCCAGCTTGTAAATATATTATATTATTCACAACAATATTACATTTAATCCACAGTCTGAGCATGGAATGGTCTGTACATACATGTTAATCTTACAATTGCAAAAAAAATTAAATAAAATAAAAAAATAAAAATCAATAATATAAAATATCAATAAAATAAAAATAATATAAAATAAAATAAAATATCAAAAAATAAAAATATTAAAGCATTATATTAAAACTTAAAAAATAAATAAATAAATAAAATACTAATAAAATAAAATTAGCAAAGCATTGTTAAAAATGAAATAAAAGCTAAATAAATACAATAAAATAAAATTGAAAATAAAATAAAATAAATACAATAAAATAAAATTTAATTAAAAATAAATAAAAATACAGTAAAATAAAATAATAATAAAATAAAATTTGCAAAGCATAATTAAAAATGAATAAAATAAATATAAATATAATGAAATAAAATTAAAAATAAATAATAAGAATTTAAAAAATAATAATAAAATAAAATTAGCAAAACATTATGAAAAACTTTAATAAAATAAATACAATTTAATAAAATTAAAAATAAATACAAATAATATAAATACAAATAAATAAAACAAAAAATAAATAAATAAAATAAATGCAATTAAATAAAAATAACAATAAATAAAATAAAATAAAGGCAATTAAATAAAAATACAAATAAAATGTCTATAAAATATAAATAAGATAAAATATCAATAAAAATAAAACAGCAATAACATTTTTATTAAATAAAAAAATCTTAACATAATTTCTGGATCTAAAATCTGAATTGTGAAACAACTCATGCACTTGTAATTGTGAAAAAAATAAAAGAATAGTTCACCCAAAAAAATAAAAAACTCCATCATCATTTATTCAACCTCCAAACCTGTTGAATAAAATCTGTCAAGTAAAAAAGAAGAAATTTCAAAGAATGTTGAAAAACAGCAGCCATTGATTCCATAATAATTTATGTTCCTACTGTGGGTGTGAATGTCTGCTGGTTTAACACATTACTCAGAATATCTTGCTTTCTGGGGGTGAACTATCCCTTTAAGCTGCAGTTCTGTAAAAAAAAGGAAACAACTTAATTGTAAACAGTTTATGAGTATAAAATATCAGAATTCTTGTTTTTTGTTATCAAGAAGTGCTATATGAAATTGCATCTGAATAGGAAAATTTGCATTCAATTAATATAAAATTAATGTAGTATAATATAATTCTCCACATTTACATAAGTAAATACATAATCTCAATTATAAAAATATGACTTAACATATTACTTTACGTCTATCAAAACTGTATTGTACATAAATCATATAACCATATGCATATTATTAAATTAAAATTAAGTTAATATAAGAAGTGAATAAATTTATATAAATATACTATTTTAAAAATTTAAATATAATATACTATAATATACTATAATATAATATAATATAATATAATATAATATAATATAGTATAATATAATACAGTATAATATAATATAATATAATATAATATAATATAATATAATATAATATAATATAATATAATATAATATAATATAATATAATATAATATAAAATAATATAATACAATACAATACAATGCAGTAGAATAGAATAGAATAGAATAGAATAGAATAGAATAGAATAGAATAGAATAGAATAGAATAGAATAGAATATGGACATAATGATGGGCAAAAATAAATAAATCTGTGTATTTCTCTGATGCAGATTCAGTGTTTGTCTACTTACACATAAACTAGAGTCCAGAAGGTGACTAAAGCAGTTTTTCATCACTGTGTGTTGTGTTTGTCCAGCTTGTGACCAGCTCTCTCTGGGAGTGGCTGCCATCTTCGGGCCCTCGCACAGCTCCTCTGCCAACGCGGTGCAGTCCATCTGTAACGCTCTCGGGGTGCCACACATACAGACCAAGTGGAAGCACCAAGTGTCAGACAACCGAGACTCCTTCTACGTCAACCTGTACCCCGACTTCTCCTCCCTCAGCAGGGCCATTTTAGACCTGGTGCACTTCTTCAAGTGGAAAACGGTCACCGTGGTTTATGACGACAGCACAGGTGAGAGCTAGTTCACTGCTGCGGCACACTGTGCACTACAGTTGAGTTATTATTTAAAGATGTTTAACAGCAAGGTTTTTTTTTTTTACAGTATTTCCTATAATGTTTTTTTTCTTCTGTAGAAAGTCTTATTTGTTTTATTTTTGCCAAACCATTTTAAGGTCAATTTTTTTTATTGTCTACAGAACAAACCACTGTTATAAAATGACTTGCATAATTTACCCAATTAACCTAATTAAGAAAAACAATATACATGGGGGTTAATAAAATATGGGGGCTAAAAATTTAGACTTCAACTGGATGTACGTATGCACTTACTTACACACTCAACAGTGTTGTATATGAATTTTAACTAATTAAAATGAAACTAATAAAAACTATCCCTAGAGGATCCAAGTTGACTAATGTGCTTCACAATAACTCAAAACTACAATCAACAAGTCAAAGACAAGAACAATTAAAAAATACAAAAGAATCAAATAAAAAAAAACTTTTACTTGCACAAAAGCGAGTAAAATGTGAAATACAATTCAACTTTTAACATTTTAGCCAAGACTTAGCAATCAACAAAGTTGCCAAAAAGACTTAAAGTATCAAAAAGTCCCAAAGTCTCAAAGAAGTCTCAAAAGAAGTCTTAAAAGTTTCAGAAGTCTCAAATGTCAAAAAAAACTCAAAGTGTCAAAAGAAGTCTTAAAATAAGTCTTAAAATAAGTCTTAAAAGTCTCAAAAAGTCTCAAAAAAGTCTTAAAAGAAGTCTTAAAATAAGTCTCAAAAAGTCTCAAAAAGTCTCAAAAATGTCTAAAAAGAAGTCTCAAAAGAAGTCTCAAAAGTTTCAGAAGTCTCAAGTCTCAAAAAAACTAAAGTCTCAAATAAGTCTTAAAAGAAGTCTTAAAATAATTCTTAAGTCTCAAAAGTCTCAAAAAACTCAACAAGTCTCAAATAACTTTTAAAGTCTTAAAATTCTCAAAGTCTCAAATAAGTCTCAAATAAGTCTCAAAATAAGTCTCAAAAAAGTCTTAAAATAAGTCTTAAAATAAGTCTTAAAAGTCTCAGAAAAGTCTCAAAAGTCTCAAAGTCTCAAAAATGTCTCAAAAGAAGTCTTAAAATAAGTCTTAAAAGTCTGAAAAGAAGTTTCAAAAGTCTCAAAAAATCTCCAAAAAAGTCTAAAAAAAGTCTCAAAAAGCCTCAAAAAAGTAAAAAGTGTCAAAGTTTCAAAAAAGTATTTAAAAATTTCAGTCTCAAAAAATGTAACTAGTCAAAAAGTCTAAAAATGTTTAAAAAAAAATAAAATCTAAAAAAAAATTCTCAAGTCTCAAATAGTCTCAAAATAAGTCTCAAAAGTCTCAGAAAAAAATCTTTAAAAAAAGACTCAAAAGAAGTTTTAAAAGTCTCAAGAAAATAAAAAAAGTTTCAAAAGCCTCAAAGTAAAACAAAATCTAAAAAAGATTACAGATTTTAAAGAAAGATTAAAAAGAAAAAGTAAAAAGATTTTAAAGTCTCAAAGTCTCAAAGTAAAAAAAAAAAGTATAAAAGTGTATCAAAAAAATTTTAAAGTCTAAAAAAGTCTTAAAATAGTCTCAAAAGAATTCTTAAAAGTCTCAAAGTCTTAATATGGTAAAATCGCCAATTGGGGAAATTATTGACCAAACTTCCCAAAAGTTATTAATTATACAGTTAATATAATAGCATTCACCATTAGGAAGTGACAAAATCATTCACGTAGAAGAATTTTGCTTTCACAATCAAACATAAATCAAGTAATCCAACCCCAGTGATAAAAGCTCCACCCTTACTGCTACTGAGCAAATCTCAATCACTGAGTGTGTGCGGTCTTCAACATTACACTTCTTTTTAACCTTTGAATAAGTAAATCATGTGGTTATTTAAAGTGCATTTATTCTTTTTACTTACCTTAATAGGTTTTACAAATGTAAGTAAATTAATCATAAAAAAAGATGTTGTCCCCCTAAATAACTCAAGAATTGTGTTGATTCTGCTCATTTTAAAAAGAAAAAGTAGTTTAAACAAGCAGCAAAAGCAGTTATTAGAGTGTACGATTTGGAACTGGGTTTTTGCATGATTTCAGCTGGAAGGCATCCCCTGCGTAAAACATATGCTGGATTAGTTGTCGAGTCATTCCACTGTGGCCCCTGATAAATAAGAGAAGCAAAAAAATGAATGATTTGGGACACACCAATTGTGATTATTCTCCAGACTTGACCCTTTGGCCCAAACTTTGTCCCCCATTCCCTGGTCTCCGTCTGGCCTACAGTTCGTCCAAACCCTCCCTGGTTGACGGGCTCTGTTTGAACAGTAGGCAGCAAGTGGTGTCGCAGTCAGAGGTACATTCGCCATATGCCAGAGGTCGCCTCAGGAGCAAACTCGCCAGCTACAGGATTTGCTGCCAGAATTTTCTCGTTCGCTCTTCTGCACAGCAACAACACACTGTTATTTGGCGACACTGTCTTCATGTGTGGCACAACAAAGGCCGAGGGATGTTTGATGTGTTATTATGGAAGCTTGTTTCCAGTATAGAATTAAATAAATAAATAAACAAAAAAAATATTAATAACAATGATAATAAAATATACAAATAATAATAATAATAATAATAATAATAATTGTTATAAAAATATTAATAATAATAACGTTTTATGAATACAATTTAGTTTTTTAAGAGTTGTGCGTGAATACAAGCTTGTTTCCACAATGGAAAGAAATGTATGAATCCATTAAAAACAACAACAACAAAAACAACAAATAATAATATTAATAATAACAACAACAATAATAATAATAATAAATACATTACTATTACATAAAAAAGATAAATAACAACATCAATAATGATAAATAAATAAACAAATAACAACAGAAATAGTATTATTAATATCAATAATAATAATAATAATAATAATAATAATAATAATAATAATAATAATAAAAATAATATGAAATACCAATTACATTGCTAATAGATAAAATAAATAAATAACAAGCAATAATTATAAAAATAAACAAATAATAACATAAATAATTCTAATAATAATAATAATAATAATAATAATAATATTAATAAAAATAATAAAAATAATAAATACATTACTAATAAATAAAATAGATAAATAACAACATCAATAATAATAAATAAATAAACAAATAAAAACAGAAATAATAATAATAATAATAATAATAATAATAATAATAATAAAAAAAAAATAATAATAATAATAATAATAATAATCATTATAAATACATTACTAATAAATTAAATAAATAACAGCCAACAATAATAAATAAATAAATAAACAAATAATAACATTAATAATAATAATAATAATAATAATGGTTCACTTATACAATTCAGTTTTTTTCAGAAATGTGTAAGAATTTGCATTCTTAACTCTTTCTTTTAAAATTATAGTATATTATATTATATTATATTATATTATATTATATTATATTATATTATATTATATTATATTAAGATATATATTAAGATTATAATTACATGGTAATAATTTTGAGAGTACAAATTAGTATTTAATTAACACATTAATAAAATAATAGTTAAATCAATTAATAAATAAACAAGTAAGCAACTGGATGAATGAACAATAGAATGAACAAACGAATGAATGAACAAACGAACAAATGAACGAATGGCTTCTTAATTTAAGATTTATTCAATCAATGCAAACAAAGTTATAACCACTCGTTTACTAAACAAAGGTACAGTAAAGAGCTCTCTCATACTATATAATGCATCACATAAAATCCATATAATATTACTGTACTTACTGCACACTATGTATGTAAATCATCTTCAAATGCAATGTTTTCAGCAATTGGTCTTTCAAAGAAACCAAATTATTTTATAATACATCCTGATTCCATGACTATATTCCCCAATTTTTGCTTAATGGAGAGATTTTCATTTTCAACATATTTCTAAGCATAATATAATAGTGTTAATAACTCATCTCTAAAAACTAATTCTTTTATCTCTGCTATGATGACAGTAAATAATATTGCACTAGATATTGTTCAAGATACTAGTATTCAGCCTTAAGTGACATTTAAAGGCTTAACAAGCTTAATAAGGTTATGTTCGGGTTATTAGGTAGGCCATTTATTACAGTGGTTTGTTCTGTAGACAATCCAATATAAATATTGCTTTAGGGGGTTAATAATATTGACCTTAAAATGGCTATAAAAAATCTAAAAAAATTCATCTAAAAAAATCTTTTCTAGCCGAAAAAAAACAAATAAGATTTTTTTCTAGAAGAAAAAATATAGAAAATACTGTGGAAATTTCCTTGCTCTGTTAAACATCATTTGGGAAATATTTGAAAATGAAAAGAAAAATCCCAGAAGGACGAATAATTTTGACTTCAGCTGTATGATGGACACAAGAATAGACAGGATAACGTGTAAATGCTCACACAAGCTGGAGTCCTGCGTTTTTCTGTACAACGGCTTCATGAACGAATGCAAACAAGCAAATCAATAGCAATAATGGCATTCCCTAATGGCTCCGCTCTGAAATGGAAAACGTGGACTGACAGCCGGCAACACAAAGCTCTGTCAACACGGCTCAGCTGTCGGCTTCAAAATGCTGTTAGAAAAATGAGCGTGAGGCACAGACAGCGTTTTTCACATGCTATACACTCTTAAAAGCAGAAGGGTTTTGATTTCTGCAGCGATGGCATTGGATTAACCTTACAGTGAGCTGTTCTTGAAGGGATAGTTCAGCCAAACTATGACATTTTGTGTCATTCTTCAAAGTATCTTTTTTTGTGTTTAAAAGAAAACAGAAATTTGTAAAGCTTTGAAAGCAGTCAAGAGAGAGTAAATGAGAACTTAATTTTCATTTTTGGAGTCGAGAAAACACAGGGAAACAAAATTATTTAATTATTTTATTTAAAAGTAAATTCAACAAATCCCAACTCAACAAAACCCTTTTACTAAATGTTGACTTTATTTAAATAAAATAAAAT